CCACCGAGATAGGAGCGGGAGCTCCAATACGGGTGGCGAGTCCAGGCGTGGAGACTCAGGGCTGCGGGTCAGCAACTCCACAGTCCGTGAGGAGAGTGTGAAGCTTCTGCACCGTAGCCGCTGAGTAGCGCTTGTGGGTGGCAGCGCGCTTGCATCCGGAGGCGCAGCTGCCTTTGAGGGCCCAGGCCATACAGACGTCTTGACCACCGTGTTTGGGAATAGTATACTGGTGGTCCTTGGTCATTTCAGTGATGGAGCGGAACCCAGAGTCCTGGAAACGCTTCAAGAGGTCCTCATCGCCGTGGAAGTTGGTAACGGGGTGCGCTCCCGCTCGCTGTTGGTTTGCTCCGGCAGGCTTCTTGCTAGGCGGCTCGGACTTGAAGAACGAGTGCCAGTGAGCAGGGAGCTCTGCGAGAGACGAGGCACGGGAGGACTGAACGAGCCTAGTGAGCGCTCCGAAGTTGGGGGCAGCAGCGCCTGGATTTAGGATAGCTTCGTTGACCCACAAGAAGTAATCTTGTTGGACCTCGAAAAGGATGCGACCGCACAAGTCCACCGCCACACTCCGGTTGTCAGCGTGTAGGCCATGGATGGTGTGGAGGTAGGATCCCAGCGAGAGGCCACATCACGCACCGAGCGCGAAACTGGATGGTTTCCTCCATTGAAGACATCTATCATGATGGAGAACCCATAGAGCTTCTCCTCCGCAATGCGAGCATCGGTGGGAAACTTGACGTCGGTGGAAGTGATGGCGATGGCATCTTCCAAGGTGACGGAGGCTCCCTTCTCAACGTACTCTGCTCGAGCAGCTAAGTCCTGGACTGCCTTGGCTTCCAAATGGCCTTGGCACACTACCGAGAAGGGGGAGAGGCCTTCGCCCAAGGTGGTCCCTTGACCGTTCACGAAGTACTTGCGGAAGACACGATCCAGAATGTGTCCAGTGACCAAGGGTTTGTTCGCGAGGTTAATGGGCAGCGCCGATGCCTGAGTGCGTTCGTCTAGTTGAGCTTGCAGGATCCCGTGTTCATTCCCTTTAGGGGACTTCGCGAGCAGACGGTGAATGACGGGAAGGTTTGCGTCATCGGCCACGTCACAGAGGTTGTGGACGTGAGTGGCTAGGGCAGCCCCGAATTTATCCGTGAAGGTTTTGTTGCTCTTCTCATGGTCATACTGGAGTTGTTATTCCAGCGTATCACGTAGGTTCATGATTCCCGCATTGAAGGTTGCATTTGTCAGGCCCGGACCTACCGCGCCAAGCGCAGCCAGGTAGGGGGAGAGCACCCGGTTGGTACTTCGTTGGAGCGCGTTTGTGCTAATGGGCGCGGCCACGTTGGCTGCGTCATTACTAGTGGACGTATGACCTCCCGCGGCTAACGTACAACAGGCGCGGAACCATTGGACCAAGGGGGTGATGGCAGCCTGTCGCGCAGGATCCGTGTGAGTTATCTCAGGGGTGAGAACTTCCGCACGGAACTGGGGAAGACTGTACTGTCCCTCGGGACGGGCCGCAAGGACGGCTTCAGAAAGATAGGACGGAAGAGGCATCACGCGACGGACGCGGAAGACATCAGTGTCTGGGACACCACCACCGTGGGGGCCACTGTGTAGCACAGGAGCGGGAACGGCAGCAAACATGGTTCCTCCGTCAATAATCGTCATGTTGTGGCAGGCTATGTCAGCCGTGCGCTCGAAGGCAGACATGGGGAGGACCAGGCGCCACCATGATAGCGCTTCGAAGATCGTTCCCCACCACGATAGCGTAGAGATTGTCGTAAGGAGAGGCTTGGCTCGGATTCACGGGGTAAGCGTAGAGTGAGTGTCCAATGTCGATAATCATTTCATCATTTTGGAGGACGAAGCCAAAGGTGACAGGTGAACGAAGGCAAAATTGGCTCATGGCGCGAGAGGCAACATCACGATTTGCATTCGAGGCACCACCCACAGCAGTGAGGATATCAGCGTAGTTTGGAGCATGTACCTCCCATGCCGCTGCACGAGAGACGAGATCCGAAAAATTAGAGCTGGCCATGGTGAGGGTCGAAAAGATACGAAACCTGATGCCGGCGCAAGAGATTAATTTAATCTAGGTTCTTGCTTTCAGCGTCGGCTGAATGAAGAATTGTGAGCTGAGAGAGAGACAACCTTCTTGCGATCGGCAGTTCAATGGCTGATCTTGGCTAGGTCGCTGGCTTTAGTGATTCATGGTTGCCGCAGTTGATCTTGCCAAATGTGGTCTTGGACGGGCGTCATTGCCTTAAGGGTAATCTTGTTCGAGGGGCATTGAGGAGCTGATGCGGTGCATCATCATGTGGGGTATCCATTTCCGGAACGCAGGTGATGACCTGCGAGATGTAGAGATGTACTTGAGTTGTAGGTGAGGAGCGTGGGAATTAATTTTGCAAATTGTGAGATGGTCCTCTCGGCAACCATGATTAGGGTCATGGATGCGAGGACCCATCAGGGTTCAAGTTTCCACGCTGTGGGGCGTGGAAACTCGGACGGGGGGGTTCCCCAGGCGTGCTGCTGCTCGACACGGATTAACAATATTCGGTTTTGTTCATGTATTTGTCGTAAGGATCCAATGCGAAGTACCGGTAACCGTAGCGAGCAAAGCCGAACTTTCGGTACTGTTGCCACTGTCGTCGATGTAGCTATACCGCAGCCGGCTACAATGGCTGGATTCATAATGTTCGGTTGTGCATGTATTCGTCATAAGGATCCAATGTAAGATACCGGCAACGGAGTGTAGCCAGCAAAGCGGAACCTGAGTGTGTTCGGTACTGTTGACACTGTCGCCGATATAACTGTACGGTAGCCGGCTACAATGGCTGGATTAACAATATTCGGTTGTGCGTGTATTCGTCATAAGGATCCAATGCGAGGCAACCGGGTGCAGCGAGGAAAGTCGAACCTGAGTGTGTTCGGTACTGTTGCCACTGTCACTGATCGATGAACTCTACGGTAGCTGGCTACGATGGCTGGATTGACAATGTTCGGTTGTGCATGGATTCGTCATAAGGATCCAATGAAAGGTACCGGTAACGGAGTGTAGCCAGTAAAGCGGAACCTGAGTGTGTTCGGTACTGTTGCCACTGTCACGGATCGATGTAACTCTCTGCCTACAGTATCGTAGATTGGGTGTATTCGTCATATGGATCCAAGTAGCGAGCAAACTGAGGAAACAGGAGACGAACGCTGAAAAAAAGCCGAATAGAGTAAGGTATCGACATAATGAACACTGGGGTGATGTCATCCGAGCTTAGGGATGAGGTTGCTGGTCCTCTAAGTCTTTTCACGGAACGTTCCGTTTCGCTTGGAATGTCTTACCGGGAGCGGGCTTGCGTTTGTATTGATAGTTTAGATTCAGCCTGTACCGTACCTGGTACTGTACAATTGAGGCAAAGAGGCGTGGGGTTCGTTCCTGCACTTTCGGATCCACGGTACGCTTCCACGGTTCAGTCTTCTTGGCGACAGTCGACAAAGTGACAAAGTGGCTGTTGTTATTGTTCTTGACTGTCACTCTTCGTTTTTGGATGTTGACAATTATAATTGTACCAAGCTAGTTGAAGATTGTATCACCAAAGCCAAAGCTAATCGTAAAATGATCCTCGTCTTGTTGTTGTTGCGGAAACGATGGCAACCTCCGACGCTCATCTTGAATGGATTACAAGTGCTGCTTTGGTGGAGTTGTTGGAAGCTTCTCATGGTGTCTTTGGAGAGTTGATCGAACCTTCCCTTGTGCTGCAAGGCCTGGCACTGTCCGATAATGTGGGTCGTCTGGATGATCCTCAATCTGCCTTGGCCACTCAAGCGATGCATTCCTTCTCGATATCCAGTAGTGGAGACAATCCTGAAATCAAAGTGGAATTCGACAATACCACGCCACATGCCTTGTCGCTGCGATGGATGGACGAAGAAGGGCGGGCATTTGTCAATGGCACGGTAGAGCCATTTTCTTCCATGGTTCGATATTCACGCTGTGGACATTTATTTCTCGTGTCCGCTGTGATTGCACCGCAAAATGAACAGTTGCTAGGAGGCTATCGCGTGCGCATGCCCTGTCCTAGTGGATCTTCTCATCAGTTGTTGATAGAAGAAGAAAACGCTTCCGGTTCTACTAGTCCCATGTTCCGCCTAGAGTCTCTGATAGCGGATCCAACCGGACACGACGAATTGGTCATTGCAGCGGCAGCATTGGATTCTGTAGGAGCAGGACCACAACATGCAGCTTGTTCCAAAACTGTCAAAACACTCCACACCATTTTTCGCAATCTACTCGCCCATCCCGATGACCCCAAATATCAATCTCTGCGAATATCCAATCCCAAGGTCCAAACCACCCTGTTGCAAAATGGAGCTGCCCGACAAATGTTGTACTGCACAGGATTTCGTGAAAATGTCAATGATGACCATTGGATCTGGAAGTCCAATGCCAATCTGCATGCCATTCCAGCACGCCTGGAACAGGCTTCCAAACTTTTGCAATTTCTTTTAGAACGCTCTCAACCTGGGTTTGTGGCGGAACTGGCACTGACACCGGTTTGGCAAGGACCCATTCTCAATTCCTCCTTGACCAATGCCAATACACGGGGATTTGGAGCTGCTGGGTCGACTCATTTCCTCAGTGATGATGAAAAATGGGATCGGGCCGAACGGAATCGACAACGACGGGGACGAGGTGGACGGAAACCCACACCGGGTAGTGCACCGAGTAGTAATGGACGATGGGGGCGGTAGAAGCGTACTGTAGTATCAAGCAGCAATATACGTTCATGGTGTGTGCAGAAGACGAACAGGCACATCGACGATGGGCAGCAGCCAAGATTGAACCGTACTGGGTATTGATGTTATTCGGTCTACCCGTGGATGGGCTTGGTACATTGCTAGTTTGAACAGAGATAACAACACCATTACGACAATGCTGCAATTGGGGGTTGGCGGCACCCTACGTTTTGTTTCGGCGTAACAATGGCTCTAATCTATGTCGTTTATCGTCGTACCTAGCTGGTTGACTCGTCAACTTTCACAAAACTGGCACCATTCTGTTTCACCACCTCGTCGATGCAATCAAACGCTTCTTCGAGTTCTTCCGCCGCGAGATCCTGAAGAATGAGAAGGATCGTGGAGGTAGCAAAGTTGGAATAGCTGCCGCCACTGCCAGCCCCATCACGCTGCCCAAGAATCTTTTGCAGCACCTTGCCCACATCTCTTCGACCCGCTCGATCCAAGTGCGTCAGGGGCTCGTCCAAAACTATGAGCGAGGGTCGCAGCCGGCCTCGAGTTGCCACCAAATCGGCAAATCCAAGTGTCAACGCAAGAGAGCATCGACGCCATTGCCCCCCAGAAAGTGTGGCCAGAGGTCGCTCACGAAACGATCCATCGGGTTCGCGAACCAAAGCACGCCGGGAGATTTTGTCTCCGGCGTCCAGGGACATTTGAAGTCTTTGTGCACCGTCACTAAAGTCGTCCAGGTATTTCTGTGACAAGCACTGAAGGTCACGAACTGCGTTTTGCAGCACAAACGTTTGAATTCCACGGGTTCCAAAGGCATCCGAGAGGCCTGCGCATTGCTTTGTCAAGCGTCGTTGTTCTTTTGCTTGAGCTCCCAGATCCTCAACGGCGGCCTTCAGAGTCTCGAGCTCACCCGATAGGTTGCCATGGGCTTCTTTCGCAAACTCGACCGCTTGGCGTGCAGTGTTCAATTGTGCTTCCAGCTTTGATTGTGCGAGAGCGGCTTCTTGTTGACGCTCGGCTTGAGCTGTGTACGATTGCGTCAGATGGGCAACCTGTTCTCGTGAACTTCTCAACGCTTCTTCCGCATCAGATACGAGTTTATCCCAGTAGGTTGCTTGTTCATCCCGTTGTTCATGTACAATCTGGGCTTCCTGCTGAAGTTTCTGTCGGCTGAGTTCTGCATCCTCCACAGCTTCTCGGGCTCCAAGAAGCTTTGTCTGGGCAGTCGCCAAAGAATGCAGTGTGGCCTGGATTTCATCCTCGGCTTTTTCTTGCAGGCTCTCATGAGCATGTTCATGGCCATTATTTGTCACTGGTTGTTGACATGTTGGGCATATTTCAGGAATATTGAATGCACTCGGAAGCTCCCCCACAGACAAATCAACCTGCCATGTCTTCTCCAGTTTGCCAACGGCGCCCTTGAGAGTTTCCATTTCATAGTTGGCAGATTGGTGTTCTAGTTGTGCTTTCTGAAGTTGTTCAGCTGCAGTTTGCGCGGATTGCATCTGAATGCGAAGACCTCCATCAATATCTTTTAGTACCGATGCTCTCCCCTCTTTGAGGTGGCTCACATGGTTCTGGTGCGTTTCCACCAATGAATTTGCTTCTTCGAGGCTTCTCCGCAGTGAATCTAAAGATTTCCCTTTTGTCGCCTCATCTTCCCCACCGTCTGCTTGCTGCTGTTTGGCTGAAAAGCTCTTGGCTTCCGCTTCTCTGACACGCAAGATCTCTACCTTCTCTTTCAAGTCTGCATCGGCCCTATTGAATCTGTTTTGTAGCTTTTCCATGTCGTCAGTCCTTAGTGCTAGCATCCCCTGCAATTCGTTTTCTTTCTTCGTTGCAGTTCGGCCCTTGGACCGAGCCATAGTTCCGGCTCCCTGCCAAAGCTCCAATGGTACAATCAGAGAGAGTTCTTCCTTCAACTTTGCGTCGGTGGCTTCCAGCAACTCATTCAATGCGTGCTGGCCATGAAACATGGTTCGAGCTAGGATGGGTGCACTGACACCTAGCTTTTCCTCGATGACTGCCATTGTCTCTTTCGCTGATTGAGTTGTAAGATCCTGTCCGTCCAGAAAGAACGCGAGTCCGGTCTTCTTTGGTGTCTTTGTCCTCGTAATCACAAACGGCTTTCCATTCAGATGGCCGGTCACCGATACACGGGCATTCTATTCAGGATCAGTAGAGGCAAAGAGCCAACATGAGGCACCTGCCCGACCAAACTGAGTTCAGTATCAAGGTGTAAGGACTCACCTGGTTAGAGTCATTCAATATATCCACCACTTTGCTGTCTTGGAAAGGTCTAGGATCTGCAGAACCCGTCATAGCCCACAAGGCAGCCATGGCCAACGTTGTTTTGCCACTCCCATTGCTATGTTCAGTGAGTGGTATGGAGAGAGAAAGAGACAAGTTAAGGTTGTTCAAGATGCAGTGCCAAGCGACAAAAGCAAAGAGCAGGTCAATCGAGCAAGATGGAGGTCGTACCTGTCCGATCCTCCATCCAAGTTGGTGCCCTTCAAGAGGACAAGACCCCTATCATTCAAGGGGTATTCCACCCGAGTTGGAAACGGTCCGTAACCTTCTACTGCCACAGAGTCTAATTGCAGATTGGTTTTTGTTGCCAACAGGGACCCTTCAGTACTTTTTGATGACGACGATGTTGCATCCTCGGACTCTTCCATCTCCTCCAGAAGTCGCAGTCCGGCCTCTTGCAATGCCATGGCTTCTTCTTCGTCGTAATCAGCTCCTTGTTGGACCTCCCAAAACCTTGCCCAGGTGGAGAGGGGTGACAAATCCTCCAGAGAGGTGGCACCTGTAGTTTCCGCAACCGATGCAGGATCTCCTTCCTGTGCCTCGGCGGTTGTAGTCGCCTCTCGTATTTCCACGGCCACACCTGCTTGTCGGAGTGCTCGAGTATGATCCTGGAAAAGAGTGTTTTCATCCAAATCCCGCACTTCTCTGCGTGGCAATGTCAAAACAATGCGATCGCCTTCCTTAACAGTCTTTTTAGTTGCTGTTGCCACGTTGTTCTCCAATGTTGTTACATGTAGTTCCAGTAACTCATCCAACGACTGTGGCTTAAAATGCTTTCTCCCAATATCATTCATGGGTATCCGTTCAATACACTTCCACCCTTGTGTGGCATCCAAAACCACCAGTGCTTTCTCTTGATGAGCTTCTGCCAGTGACGTTTCATAGGGCGATCCGAGATATTCAATGCATACCTCTTGCGTGTCGGCAGTCTTTTTATTCTTGTTGTGTATGACAGTGTGAGGTTTGTGAAAGTGTCCCGAATAAATGGGTCGATTGCTGGGAAACACGGATGGATGGACTCCCCCCGTGGAAACAATCATGTCATTCATGTAGGCTCCCGTGACATCGGCATGCACAAAGAGTGCTTGACACGACTGTGCCATGTCGGATTGCAGCACCGATTCCATAATGGCCAAATCTCGAATGTGTGGTACAAAGAGCGCATTTCCTAGTTTGGTGGGATGCGAAAACACCAGGGGACCGGGAATGGTTGTGCCGCTGCTGTCCTCATGATCAACTGTTACTCGATACGACTGTTCCAGCGGTGTCAATCCATGCGAATGTCCTCCCAGTGTAACTTGATCGTGATTCCCCGGAATCAGAATCATGGGTACGGTCCATTGTCGAAAGGCGTGCAAGACGGCATTGAGACAATCGACCCGCAGCGTTCCTCGATGATGCCAGAAATCTCCCAAAAAGAGTACCCCCGCGTGTCGCTGTTGTGCCAATTCGTGAACACGATGGATGACTGCCAATGACGTTTCGAGGGTGGAGGGGGCCACGTGGAGATCGGTAAAGACGACCCATTTGGCAATGGAAGCGTGATGGGCCAGTTGTTGCAAAAAGGGGTCCTCCTTTGCCTTGATCTTATCGGATGCTTGTAGCAGGGCATCCAAGTCATCCATGCGAGGTGGTGGTGGTGGTGGTAGATTGTTGGTGGTGGTGCTGGAATTGTCATTATCGGCTGTCATTGTTGCAGCTGTGGTGGCGGTGGATGAATCATCCGATGATGATTCTGTAGTAACTGTCATGGCTGGAATGGCCTGTACTGGTTCTTCTAGCGGTAGCTGTTGAAGCAGCAACTCGTTTTCTGTAGTAGTATCAGATTCTAGTTTTGTACTTGTTGCTGTTGTTGCTGTTGTCAGTTGTGATTTTCGAACCTTGACTTGTTGATTCTGCTCTCCACCATCAGCAGAAGATAGTTTCAGAGTGTACCATCCACCCTTTCGAATATCTTGAATGACGCCTTGGACCATGTTGGATCCATCTTTGTGGACATCCACCAGGACGGTATCTCCAATGGTCCAATTATTATTATTATTATTATCAGACGATGATGATTTTGACGAAAAAGACAGCCACAACCGTGTATTATGGAACGGTGGTGGGTAGAGGAATGATGGGTATCCAAACAATGATGGCTTTCTGGTTTCCCACTGATGTTGTGGACGCATGGTATTTGCTATTCGTCGTGGGAGATGTCCTGATCTTGCCAAGAAGGCTTTGGCAGTTTTATTACATGTAGTAGCTGCCATTATGGTGAGAAATAATGCCAATGAAATGTTGAGGGCACAATGAGATCTTCTTTTCTTCGACGACAATTGTGATGCCCCCGGCAGTCTTCTTCTTTTCTCTACTTCTGATGATGATGATGATGATAGTCGAGTAATTGCCAGCATTTCTCAATCTCTCTCCCTCTGCAGTGCAAAGCCAACAATATCTATCTCTTTCCTTTGGTTTGTTATACTTTCTTGTGGCATTGATTGTTGTGTTGGTCAACCAAAGCGAAAAGCCGTTACCGAGGGCGAAATTGGATCTTTTGGATCTTTTTGCGCCTTTTTCTATTTTGTGAGTTTTGCATAAACCATTTTTCATCATTTTGGTGATTTTGCAAGATAGCTTCTTCATTTTTATTCAATCGTCACAAAAGATAGATGTCACAAAAGATTTCACCAAGCCCTTCTTTTTCGAGCTGCTGCTGCCTTTCTGTGACAAAGACCGCACTGCCACTGTCTTCACTGCAACCCAACATACAACAATAAATACTACAATACAATAACATGAACAACAACAACACGGACAAGGAAGTCCCCCTTGGCAAAGTCCTCTCCATCTTTCTGACGGACGATGGACTCAAGGACGTGACGTTGATCACCAGTGATGGCGAACTTGTGCGGGCCAACCACTATGTCTTGTCGGCTCGATCGGTGGTCTTTCGTCGCCTATTGAGAGGCAATTATTTCTCGGAAGCCACCAACCTCGAAGTCGATGTGGGCTTTCCCGGCAGTATCATGCGAGATATTGTGGAATACAGTCATACCGATACGTGTGCCAGTCTCAGTTGGAATAATAGCAATAACAACACTAACAAGCAATCGCCATTGGAGGAATGGCACGCCGAAAAGGAGCACGTGGAAACACTGGTGGGGCTTTCGGGAGCCGCCATGTACTACAATTTACCCAGTCTCGCCAAGAAAATAGAGACCAATCTCACGCAGCATCTGCGGCGTACACCATCACTGTCACTGGCCGTCTTGGCCGCCTGTCGCAAGGGGGGACCTTCCATTCCTGTCGAATTGGTCGAATGTGCCATGGCATCGGTGCGACGGAACAAGAGTGCCCTGTTTGATGAAAAGGCCGTTGCCTGTGTCAATGACAGTCTCGTCAAGGAAATTCTCAAAGACAAAGACCTGAAAATTGATGAATACGATCTCTTCATGTTCCTGACCCAATGGATGGAACGCAGTCCCAAAGATCGAGAATCCGTCGCCAAAGATTTGAGCATTAATATCCGACTGGAAAAAATAAATCCTGAAGATTTGCATTCCAGTGTGTCGTCGTCGGGATTATTTGCACCGGATGAAATCCACGAAGCGTATCGGAAACAAGCTTTGGAAGCGCAACAAAGTAATCATGCGTTCCAAATTCCATCCTTTCAACAAACCAAAAGCATTGCTTGGCGGAAACTACACAGTGTATCCCTGTGGGTATCATCCAACTCTAGCTGACAAAAACTGACTCAATCAATCCATCCATTAAAAAACAACATCGCAACCCTTGATTGAATTCATTCCAGCAAAAATAATGGACAGGACATACACTTACGGTTTACTGTACAGTCGTACCCATCAATCTGCACGATCATCTATTTAGAGTGGCAATTCTTTTGTGGACGTATCTGTTTGCAAAGCGAACAAGTTCCTAGATGACTACATCTTTAGTTGTCAGGAAGATGGCAAATGCAGCCAACAGTCTCCGACCCTACCTTCATCAGAATAGCGTGCAAGGGTCAACTTACGTAAATAATACTTTCAGTTAGCTAGCTAGCTAGAAACTCTTTTTGGAAGCCATCAAGGAGAGCACCGAACTGAAAGCATTCAGTGCTCTAGCGTTGTAGTTGACCTAATAAAGTCCCCGTCATCACAGAGTGCCCCAGCAAATTAGTGAACTCCACCACCATCTCCTCGTCCTCGTGAGCATCGAATTTATTTCGATTAATTCGATTCGTTCGAATCGGACAAAGGATCTTTGGATCTTTCATACCCGTTTCCTCGTGACTAGATAAGTCAGCGGGAGCTGCGATACCTCGGCAGAAAGACAGATAGAAGAAGGAGGATCATATTCGAGATTGCACCCATCTTTCAAGCTAGCCCTGGCGACAACACCCGACTACGTCGTGTGTTGCCGCCCTACTCACCTATAATTTACCAGCTGCCATTCCCTTATTGAACTCTAACCTTTACAGCTCCTTGGCTGGTCTTATTGTGCCTGTTGTGCTGATTGATCTCTCTCTTTCCC